TAAATTAGGCTGAAATATAAGGCGCAGAGTGATAATAAATTAAGAGCCGCTTGGGAGCCACAAGAGCCGGTTCTTTTAAGAGATCCGAGCCAAAAGAGCCGGACTTCCCATCACTAGTTTGAATGATCGAAGCCCGCGCGCGCGCACATTTCCCGGTTTCGTCAGTTAACATCAAGGAAGCGTTTGTGGACGTGATTGGCTCCTGGTGCAGCATCACTTTGTCTCATGTTGTTTGCTCTGTGTGTGACGTCCGTGTTTACTGGTTTGGTTTATTGTAAGACACTTGTGTGTGTGTGTGTGTGTTTCATCTCCGTGCTCGTTCTGCAGTCATTGTGTTCGTATTTCTGGTCATTTAGAGTCTCAGTAGTCCTGATGGGGCTCTTAGTCATTTTGGAGCGTCATCTTTGAATCCCTCTGTGTGGACTCGGTCCCCGATCCATGTACGATTTCACGCATTCCTCATGTGACTTGGTGGAAAAATGTCTGTCCTAAAATCTTACAATCCTACCCGACTCAGCAGTATTTTACTTGTGTGACATCACTGCTGTGGGCGTGGTTATAAGATTCACCGATGAATGGGATAGATGTTTTTAAAAACAGTCAAATCCAAAACTGAAAACTAGCTTCCTGCTTTCATATACAAGCTATACGTTTTATATTATCTATAAATATGTTTCAATCCTCTCGTGGTTGCCAGAATCACTGCAGTGCTAATTATCATTTATTGAACAATATTTTGTGATTATGACTGAGGGTGAGAAACAGAATCACCTGTTTCAGTCTGAGTCTGCAGAGGTGGTCAGGCTGTCAGTCACCGGGTCTAGTCTTCTTCCAGTATTAACTATTAACTATATTCTGTTTGCTTTAACCACTACACTCTTCATTTACCATTTTAAACAGCCTTCCTCTGGTTAATGGAGCAGTTTTTAGTTTACAGCAGAATTCGTTTTCCCCTATTTTTATATATTCGTTTCATTCAAAATTTAGTTTAAAAGCTGTTGATGTTTACAGAAGTTTATAATAACTAGTTGTAACGGTTGTTGAACAGGATGTATGAGCTTTGCTGAATGTTGCGATGTCCTACCTCGCTGCTAAGATGTCACTGGGTCTCACACTGCACCTTTAAGTCATAATGCTGAACCACTAATCATTTTATCAACACTCCTCCTTTACATTAAATTGATTTTATTGTGAAGCAGGAGGTGACGCACTATCTGTGGCTTAAGGATCAAAAATGAACATGTTCATCGTCACATCTGTGTCGAGGCCTCTGTAGCTTTATGAAGTCACAGTTGTACGGCTGCTTTTTGAGACAAACATGAACCTGACGAGGCTGCTTAAAAATATTTCTAGCAGTATGGTATCAAAAACCTTTTCCATATTAAAATTATAAATATCTAAATTCTTGTATTGACACCGACATTTTTATGTGCAGCACAAAAACAGAGTGAAACAAGTGGCTCATTGTCCTGCTTTATTCACACCAGGTTTGAAGGATTCAAGACATTTTGGATTCTCACACATGCTGCGCGACACGAGGGCCGACTCACACACACTCACTCACACACACTCACACACACATCGAGGGCCGACTCACACACACACACACACACACACACAGTGGTATGGTAGGCACACTGCAGTGGAGCTCAGATGTGTCGTCTCCAACAGTCGACCCAAAGTAGGCACTTCTGAAGCAGACAGTGATGATAGTTGTTGTTCTCAGGTGAGATGGGAAACTGAAGCCATGGTCACATCACACCTGCTCCTGTCTGACTCGCCTCCACCTAAACGCTTGTTTCCAACTGTCAGGATACAGTTATTTTCTCATGGTAACAGGGTACTTGGCTTGAAAAGCACAAATATGTTCTCTACAATAAGCCAGTTAGAGCTGGTTACAGACAGAAGAGAAGCATCTGGTTTGATCAGATGATGTGATGTGACCACAGCTGGACAGATGAGCTCAGTAGCTGAACTTCAATCGGGAACAGAAAATCTGACGTTAAAGGAAAACTGTTGGCAGAACAAGGTGAGCTCTGCAAACACCTGCACAGGTGTTTTGCGTGGAGCTACTGGCTCAGGTCAAACTCAGCATCTGGGAGAAGCACAGAGGTTCACAGCTCTAATGTGAGTGAGAACAGAGGGACTGGTCCAGAGCCACACCAGTACAGAGCTGGCTTGAGCACCGGTTTGACTATCAAAAACAACGGATGCCACCAACGCCGGCGTGACTCGATGGAGCTGTGCAGCACATGCAACCTTATGTGGCTGGACCCAAACACAAAAAGGATCAGGACTGTTTCTTACACCTGAAACAGATGAAAACTTTCCTGCTCCTGTCTGATTTTCAGCTGATGGAGAGCTGGCATCACACCCACTGCCTGGCCTCAACTGAACCAGGTTTCTCACCAAAGTCTGTGTCTCTTTCCCCGCTGACGACTCTGCTACGTCTAACCATAACCAAACCCTAGCCAGGGAGGGTTACAGGTGTCAGGACACCTGCACCACCGCTGTGCAGAAGCTTTAAGGACTTCACTCAATCTGGTGACAAATGTCTAACACTGCATTCATGCACCGTTCACACACTGTCCCAAGTCCTTCGCTCTCGTGCCAACCCGTGGTCACAACACAAACAATGAGCTTGTGTTAAGCGTTTGTGGCAGTTGGTTACCAGGTGAAACCAGATGCCTCTACTAACAAATGAAGATGTAAATGCCAGCTGTCGCCTATCTGCAAACACTGTGCCGACATGTCCGTCGCTCTTTTCAGCAAACATGACGTAATATCGCTGTGAGAAACTCGGAGGCTGGTGGCAACGTTTTGTTTCCAAACGCCTGCTCATTATAATGGTTTATGTGATACGACACAAAGGAGGCTCAATTCCTCGTCACAATAGTTCAATTAAATTTAGCTAAAGAAAGTTTCACTCCACAACTCATTATATGGCCTGAGTGTGTTGAGCGTGTACACCCCCGACAAACACACTGGTGTCACTCGGGTAATGTTCAAGGCCTTTTTAGATTTTAGCTCAACAGAGGCCCTGGATTAGTGTTGCACTGGTTCACACTGCTTTACTGTGCTAAACTTCATACAGGTGTTGAAAACAGAACGAAGGTGAGACGACCTGGCAGCAGGAGAAAGTGCTGACTAATGTTGGCATCAGGTAAACCTGACCAGTACGCTAACAGCTGAATTAGTTTTGGGCTGTATGAGCCAATAGAGGGGCAGTGAACGCAACATGACGTCGCTGCTACGGCTTCTGTTACACTCGTGGTCACTGAGATGTTTGAATTTAGAAGAAAAGCACAGACTGCAGCAAAAACAGCTTCATGTTGTGCAGCTTTAATTCTGATCACAGAGGAGGAGCTGATGTTCCTCTGGGGAAAAACAAAACTGCCTGGAGAAAATCCAGTTTAGACATAAAAATCAGATTTTCTGTTCCAGCCTCAGAGGAAACACAAAGCTCATGCAGGTTAAAGAAAGGTCAGAGTCAACAGCTGATAGTCATGCTTCATGTTCCACAGTCAAACTCTCATCATCAGTTCACTTCATTTATAAAAAATTACTTCACTTCTGTCTCTGGATTATCACGACGACTGGCCTGATGTCACACAGCTGAAGAAAACACTTGAGTCATGATTGGAAGGAAAAGGTGCAGTTAAAAAGGGTTTTACTTTGGTAACGACAGGAAGTAGCTGAGAGCGGTGACGCTCTCGCTGTCTGGACGTTGTCGGGTCTGACGTTTCAGGACTTCAGCTCTTCAGTGACATGTCCGTCGGCTCCGGCTCCACCAGGTTCCTCCAGGTCTGGATTTCAAGGCCTTGAACAAAAGTCTGGAAAATTCTCCTGTTGTGAGTATAAAAGCTGAAGAATCCTTCACCACAGCGACAAAAACAAAACCCAGCTGCTGATCGAGGTTTGGAAAAAGTGAAGCACCGTGAAGGAACACCGTGGGTTCTTTCAGAGCAGGAAGGAGGAAAAGCTACTTTCCAAAACAAACCCTTTTATCGCTCGAATCCTCAGCTGGGACGTTTTTGCAAAACTGTGCAGAACCAGTGACAGAAAAGCTGAGTTTCAGTGTGTTGATAATAAAAATCCCTTCCACATGGCGAGAAAAGTCCATCCCCGTATTGAGTGAAGACAGAAAAATAAATTACCTGCCATTTCTTTGACATTATCCGCACCCAGCGCTCCCGCTAAACTCTAATAAATTACTAGTGTTCCTTTGAATTGCACACAGTGAGACGAGGTGGCAGCAGTTTTTAAGGAGGCTTTGTGTGTTACTTGAGAGTCTTTAAGGTGGAGCTGTGCAGGAAGCTGCTGCTCTTCTCCCAGTTTTGTGTTTTTGGTCCCTGCGAGCCTCCTCCACTCTCAGGCGGCTGCCGTCAGCCCTCGGTTGGTCCTGGACGCCCAGACTCCATCCTCCATCACCTCTTCTGCTCCCAGATCTCTGCCATGTTCAGGTTGAGCCCCTCGAGGCTTCTCAGTGCCTGGACGTTCTCTGTGTAGAAGGCAACGTCCACCATTACCAGCCTGACGAGGACACAACAGGCACAGGTCACTTCTTTAAACATGCACGGCCCTAAAGTACAACATCTGCTAGCAGGGTCAGACAAAGCTGGAGCTCCTGGAGCGAGGCCTCGTCTACAAGAGATGAGTGTTTGACCCACAGCAGGACCAAGTTTTTATCACGAAGGGCAAAATTAACACAACGCACAAAATGCAGGGTCTGCAGTAAAACCATGTGATCAGATCAAAGCCCAGTGAATTCACATCTGGCTCAAGCTTCAAACTGTTTGGAAAAGTCCGTTTGTGTCAGACTTGTCTCACCAGAAAAACCAAATCCTCGAAAACTCTCTCATTTCATGACATTGTTACTTCTCATCACAGTGAAACAGGAAGTGCTCGGTTAGCGTAGACCATCAGCGTGTGTGTGTGTTGTGCAGTTACCCGTGTTGTGGTCCTCCATCATTAACGACTCCGAGGCGCGCCAGCTGCCTCTTCAGGTGCATTTTAAAGCTGGTGTTGATCCTCAGAAACAACATCTGCACAGCAAAGCAACACTTAACATCTGGCTGACTGCAGTTCGGTCCCAGCTGAGGGCGGAGTTTCATCATTTTCATTCAATGTCTCTCAGACACACAACAAACTTCCTACTGCCAGTTTTATGAATATACAACACTTTGGTGTTTGACCTTCTATTCAGAGCGTTTCTATTGTTGACCTTTGAACTATAATGAGAACATTCGTAACAAATTAAATACACCGCACAGACTCACCTGCGTCTGTTCTTCAGGTAAAAGTTCATAAATGGCTTCGTGCATCTTCGCCATCTGCTTACAGACGTTTCTGAAGCAGGCCGAGGGCATCGGAGCCTTCACCTCGTACTGACAAGACAACATTCCGTTCATTTGTCACCGGTCTGTGCGTACCCCAGTATAAACTTCATGTTTGGCCCCAACATTTCAAACACGTCATCTCACCTTTGACAAAACCTTCTCAAACAGACTGTCCATGATGGCCACCAGCTTAGCAGAGATCTCCGCTATGTGGTCGTTGTAGTCCTGCAGAGCAACAAACAGCCTCAGCAACACGAACAGCAGCATATGAACCACGACTTTGCAGTAAGGAAATGTTACACTTTGATTACGACTCATCATTTAACCACAAAGAGATGAACCTGTGTGTACAGTGTTTGTATCTGTTGAACTGTCCGTTACCTTGGTGATGTGGTCGAAGTGTCTGAGGACGCTGAACTGCTTCGGCTGCAGTTTGGTCTCAAAATGAGCTCTGATGATGGGAATGTAGTGAACCACCAGCTGCAGGCAGCGGGAAGCTAACGCTACAAACACAACATGAGGCAGAGCGGCTTCCTTCACTGTACAGTACATGTGAAACAGGCAAAGCTTTCAAACTATAAATGCTAAAAACCAGAATAAATCTGTTTAGATGAAATAAAATGACCAAAAGGAAAAGGATCAGAAACGGGGGGGCAGTTGCACAGCTGCAGCTGTCAGCACCGGAAAAAACCAATTAGTGTCTTCACTTCCAGATAACCTGTTTATAAAACTCCCATGTGCGCGGCTGGTGTCACATACCCAGGTTTTTGGTGGTGATGGTCTTGAGGCCGACGACCTGCAGGGCGCCAGCTCCCAGAACCAACTGGCAGCTCCGAGAGTTGAAGTGCTGCAGAAACAGAAGAGCTGATTTCAAAACGCTGAGAGGTCACTGCAGCACAGACGAGCTGGGCCGTCAGCGCCACATCACACGTTAGCAGCCACCTCAAACTGTCACACTCAGTGACTGACAGACACTACAGCCAGAGATCAGAGTTCCACTGCAGGAAGTGTGAAATTCAACATAACTCTGGTAAGTCAGTGTGTGTCGGTGCTGACCTTGAGCAGGTCGGACAGACGTGTCAGCATGTCGGTGGCGACGGAGGGGATGTCATTGACACACTGACAGTATTCCAGAAAGATCCGGATCAGCAGCAGAACTGTCCTAAACACAACAATTCACAGAGTGGTGGTTTGAGTTTCCCACAAAGACTTTCACTTGACTTCATGTGAAGATTTCAGCTTCGTGTTTAAAATGACGGCCGCTGACAGAAACCCGGTGTCATTAGGTTTATTGTGCAGCAGTGTGAACAGAAACCTACCCAATGACAGCGTACTTTTGCCCGTTGACAAGCAGAAACTCAGCAGGCTTTCTGTCATCTGGAGCTGCAGGAACAAACTACATGTCAGTGTATTAACGGGGTTTGCTCTGAGAAGTGAAGTAGACACGATTCCTGAACAGGTGACTGATCACAGCTCATGTTTCTCATCAGTGTGAAGAACACCACAAAGGTCAATGGGTAATAAATGTGACAACGGTAACTTCATTTACACTGCTCCAGATGTGTCAAACAGCTGGAATAAAAGAATCTTTTTCTATGTCATATACGACCTTGTTGACTAACAGCAGATGCCTCTGGGGGAAGGAGCCTGTACCTGGGGTTTTGCGCTCTGGTAGTGTTATTCTGCCATCAGCGATGGAGTTGCCCAGTTCCTGAAACTCAGCAGAAACCTCCTTCCAGCGCTCATTGTCCAGGAGGAGGCTGCAGAGACAAAGCGACATCATCATCCCTGTGTTTATGGAGTGTCACAGTTTAGCTTCTGGGTGGGTCAAAGCATGTAATGGACGAGTTTACATGGTCAGATTCAATCATGTGAAACTAGGACTAGGATGTTTTACAACTGCTGCTGTTCGTCATTTTTGTGTGGCAGTTTAGGGCGTTAGCAGTGTTCACACCAGAGCCAGATACACGTCTCTTACACACGTGGATGTGAAACATCAACACTGAAACATCAGAGCAGAGCGTTAAGGCCTGAGATGTGAATGCAGTGAGTAACTGAGCGGTGAAAACTGGTGATTGACAAATCATTTCCATCAAGTGACACCAGCACTTTTATTGTTGACGTGAATCAAAACCACAAAGCAGTTCAGCGGCTCTTAAAATGGAGCTGAGCAGCGAGTTTGGGTTTACTTCCAGACTTTGAGCCACCTCGTGCTCCAAAGTCAAACTGTTCTACATGCCACTGCACTACATGTCTGAGCTGCAGTTTACCTGAGTTTGGTCTTGCGTTCTTCATGGAAGCGGTGGACAAAGCGGTTGGCCTGGGTCTGCAGCGCCCCCCTCAGGGAGACGCTGCGCCGGCCACACAGCTCCTCGGTGTCCCCGATGAAACCCTCCACCGCCTGCGAGAGGCACACGAACTCGGCCGAGGTCAAACGCTCCAGAGAGCCGTCCTGTTGGAGGTAAGACCACAGAGTCTGGACTACAACTTCACGACAGACGTTTATTTAATTAACAACAAATGATGTTAAATGACTTAAAATCTGCTTGTAGTGCAGATTTAGACCAATACAATGTCTGTGTAGCATCAAGACAGACAGTGTGACGCTACAGTGTATAGACCTCATCCACCCCTAGAATCAAAAAGTCAGGCATCTGATGACGTGCACTTTTTTCTTTTTTATTCCCGTCTGTAAAAATGAAAAACATTCGGTGTCTACAGTCTCTGTTGAATATATACTGTATAACCTTTGTAACTCCACCAAAACAAAAGAAAACTCTGTGCTAAAAACATACAGTATATAGAGTATCATGACATAACATAGTTAGAAAAGTAACTAGAAATCCCAGTTTTTATTTACGTCACCTGAACTCAACATAAGGCAAATCAAACTTACAGTACACGCTCCCTTTTCTGGCAACATCCCAAAACTGAATCTATTCCTGCTTTTCTAAGATTACAGACCTGTTCTGTAAAAATACAAGTGATCTTATTTATTTAAAGGAGACAGGAGCACACGTTTTAATGTTGTCGTCCTGTGGTACCTTGGCTCTGGCTGTGAGGACTTTGACACAGCGGTCGTGGCTGACGTCGGAGGCGGTGTACAGCAGCTCCTGGATGCTGCTGATCACATGGTTCAGCTCAAGGTCAGTGGGCATCATGTTCTCACCAGACCTGAGCACAAACCAACACAATCGCCATGTGAATCATCAGGAAACTCAACCCGTCATCAGTGACTCACGTCCAAACAATAAGAGTCTCAGCCATTGTCGACACCATTTTATGTAAAGAGATGTGAACTCAAACAGCAGATAAGTCTGTAAAAAATGTTCACGTAGGAACACATCAGACAAAACCTACACTCTGACTGGAACCGAGTTTAGCTGCAGCATGATGCGTGTGAAATACAGGCGAGGACACTGCTGAAGCTTCATCTGTATAAGTTCACGTCTTCCCCAGGGACCACAAACCTGACAACACTTCTCTCAGCAGGTTCTGTTCATGTCGCCTGTCTACATTAAATAATACAACTCTCAAACATTTGTTCTTACCAACGTCAAAGATAACGAAAAGTAGACGAACATACTTCTGAGCTCAGCTCAAAAGTTAAACCTGTGAATCCTGCCTCTCGTCCTTTTTGGGTGACTGTCATTAATGTGCTGCACGGCTGTGAGTGAGACGACGACAGCTCTTTTTAACAGACAATACTCACACACGGTGTACACAAACTTACAAAGTCCAGATTTCTATTAGATGATCTGTCAAAAGTGCAGCAGATGTAGGAGTTTGCACTTGGAAATAAGACTTAACTCTAAGCACTGAGTGAGTTTCTGGTTAAAATGCAAAGCTCATAACGCTGCCGCCATTTGGAATCACTACAGTGGTAAAAAAAAAAAAAAAAAAAAAAGTATAAAGAGAGAAATGAGAAAGTTCATCAGTGACGTACATGAAGCTCTGCTCCCCGTTGACGGAGGTCTCTGTGGTCCCAGAGGCATCTGCCTGGTTCTGCTGGGTCCTGGAGCCCACCACAGAGCCCTGATCTGGGACCACCGGCTGCTGCTGGGCCTTGTTCAGAGCGTCGCTGATGAACAGACCCTCGTGGGTCAGGTAGGCCAGCTCGGCCTCACCCTGCAGGACTGACGGGCTGTGGGGAGCCTCCTCACCTGAGGGACCCAAACCGGCCTCCTCCTGGAGCCTGTTCTTCTGGTTCGAGTCCAGAACCTCCAGAGCCACATTTCTGATCACATTCAGTGTGGTCTGACAGACACAGCAGGGAAACGAAAGACGTAGTCAGTTTTATTTTATAGTCTCTGTGCACAAATGACCAGCTGATATCACCTGAGGCGTCTCTGTGTGACACGGTTATCAGCTCAAAAAGCTTCTGATTAGACACACGGCAGGTTGCTCATCTCATTCTGGTCCATGTGCTCGTCTCCACAGTCATAAAGGAACTTTCACTGAATACTCATCATCATCAACTTTATTTATATAGCACATTTAACACAGGTGAAGCTGAACAAAGTGCTTAACACAATATCCACAACACCCCTTAAACAACATAAACGAACAGCAAAACAAAAACATCATACTTAAAACAACCCCCCCATCATAAATCACAAGCTCAACAAGACACAGGATCATACTGGTTCGAACGCCAGACGGTACAGATGAGTCTTCAAATAGGTTTTAAAAGTGGACAACGAGGGGGCCTGTCTAATATAAAGGGGCAATGCATTCCACAACTTGGCGCCCCCACAGAAAAAGCTCTGTCCCCCCTAGATCTCCGCCTAGCCCTCGGTACCTCCAAGAGCAGCTGGTCAGCCGATCTGAGGCACCGGGAGGGGCTATAGGGATGTAGCAATTCTGTAAGATAAAGGGGGGCCAAACCATTTAAAGATTTAAAAACAAATAAAAGAATCTTAAATGGATTCTAAAACACACCGGCAGCCAATGAAGAGAAGCCAAAATGGGTGTGATGTGGTCACTTTTACACCCTCCAACCAGTAGACGAGCAGCAGCATTTTGGACTCTCTGGAGGCGGGCAAGGGCGACCTGACTGAGCCCAAAACATAGTGCATTACAATAATCTGCACCAGACGTAATAAATACACGTATTACCGTCTCAAAATGCTGCCGTGAATGAAAGGGCTTCACCTTTGCCAGCTGCCGGAGGTGATAAAAACTGGTACAACCACATTCACCTGACATTCCATTCTAAGAACAGAGTCTATTTTAACATCAAGGTTAGTAACGGTGGACCGCATGTACCGTTTCAAGGAACCGAAATCAACTGGGGGAACATCACCAGAGTTATTTGGACCAAACACTATGACCTCGGTCTTCGTATCATTCAACTTCAATAAGTTTAAGGTCATCCACTTCCTAACGTCATCAAAACATGACAATAGTGATGCAACTGATGATGCGTCCCTTCCCCTCAGTGGCAAATACTGATTTTAGTCTTTCTGTCCCACATCTGTGATGAGTGAACTGTCCTCTAACACAAACTGGATCAGGTCTGGAACCTGCTGAGAGTTTGGACTCACCTTGATCCTCTGTAAGAAGAGAAGGAAACTGTCAAAGACGTTTTTCAGCAGCTCCAACCACTGAGGGAACGTCATCAGATGCATCTGGTCAGCTAGCCTGGACGAACACAGACACCAGCACAGTGTTGGAAACGGGCAGAGGTGCCACACGTTGCATTCATTCAAGATCAACCTGCAGGCAGAGCTGACCGTGTCTTAACACATCTGACTGGGTTATTCAGCAGTTTTAATCAGAGGTGCAAAACGTTGCATTCATTCAAGAACAACCTGCTAGTTTCTTAGTAATCATTTTAATCCTTCTATTCACTTTCACAACTGTAGCTGTTACCACATTTTATATTCTGGAAACATTACTTACACTCCAAATAGTGCACCTTTATTTTAAAGGCTTTTTATAGTTTTAAAAATCGACCTTTAATTACAGTGACTCACGGTGACCTTTTCCCTCTATAAGGTTTAGACCTGACTACGTAAAAGTGCCTTGACATGATTTTTGTGATTCATCACTGACACACCAGTGGGCAGCGGCCTGTTTACACATGAAACAGGTAACAATACATCTAATTTTATACCACAACACCAAAACACAGTACATCAATATGCACACATTTTCTGGAAATCGTTTTTTTCAGTGTTTAGAGGAAAAAGCCAGACTACAATGTCTGACTGGGTTATTCAGCAGTTTTAATCCTCAGGTCACACTGATGTAAAACCTAATGTTGTAGAAATATAGTCTGCTCTTTGGACACAAGGACTTAACCTGGCAAGAAATATTAAATGGACCGCCGCCACCACATACATGGATAAATGACAGTTATGCTGCGTGTCACACTGGATGAAGGATGTGCGGCGGCGTCCACAGAAACTGGTTTCACAGTGTCCAGTGAATAAACCTCTCAGAAGGAAGACTGTTAATTTGGTCTGTGTTATAAATAACATATGAAGTATTAGCAGTAAATCAGCCTCTAGCTAGAAGCCCCACGTGCACTGCATCGGTTGGCTGAGTGTGACGATGTTCAGATGCACATGTTCCAAAATAAATAAAACACTTCTACTTACTTAGTGACGACTTCGGTGTCAATTTCTTCTATGTGCACGACACTTTCGGCCACACACTGCAAACACAAACAAGTCAGATGAACTATCACACAGGACCTGTGTCTGATTGCTAATGCGTTTACAATGTGTGTGTGTTTTAAGGCGTTACACAGCTAAAGCTGAGCACATGGCTCTGACACTGTCAGTGCCAGAAGTTGTACCTGAGCGACCATGGACTTGGCAGCCAAGATCATCTCATCACTGTAAATGTCCAGAAAGTCCAGCTTCCTCTGCCGCAGCAGACCGAACACCAACGACTCCAGACGCTCCTGAACCCACGCAAAAGACAAAACTACCGTCAAACCTGTGCTTCTCAAACTCCCCAGGCGGCAGCAGGTGTGTTTTCATTTGGTAGAAATGAGGATTTCTGCAAGAAGCATAGATCAAAAAGCACCTGGTCTAATGAAATAATCCTTAGTTCGGGCTGAGCCTTATCGCCTGAGAACCACATGCAGACAGTGAAAGTGATGACGGTCACACTGCAGTGAAAGCAGGGATGCACCATTTCATCTAAAACTTTTCCCAACAGTAAGATCGTGGCATTTTAAACCCGTAAAGATTTAAAAAGGCTTTATAGCATTAGGTCACCGGCTCTTTTACACAAAGTAGAAAACACACACCGTAACTTGCCCCAAAGGCCAAATAGAAGCTAAAATCTTGACAGTGATTATTCTCAGCTGAGAAGTGTCTGTTCTTAGTTTACAAGTTTAAGGAAATAGTTGCTTTAATCACTAGTTTTTAAAGAACAACTCTGTGCTTTTTAAAACCAGTTCATGATTCAAATACAGAAAAACAATGAATGTTGAAAGGTGAATTTTCTGCGCAGCCCGAACTTAAAGGTTATGTTTTGGCATCAATCAAACCAACAGCCCACCTGATGTGTTTTTAACCTGCTTGGAGACCAGATGGACTCAACACATCGGTATAAATGTGCACTAACATTTACACACCAAGAGAAATCAGAAAAAGTTATTTAAGTTCTGGGGCTCAACTGGTCCTAAAGAGGATGACCCCACCCACCAGGGACTCCAAGCACATTAAAACAAACACCCACCAAAGCATTTCCCAACAGCAGCTGATTGACTGTGGCTCCACACCTGGACAGGTGACCCTGATTTCAGCAGCAGACGTGATTTCAGTGATTTGATGTGATATTAATGTAAGTCAGCGGTGTGTTTGTGTGTCCCACCTTCTGTGACACAGCGCTTGGTATGAGGACCTGTGATGAGCACAGCAGCCATTAAACACACAACAGTTCAACATCTCTAGGAGCACGTGACTTTCAGCAGCTGCATGGTGTTTACTTAAACTGGTTTTAAAGGCAGATAAAATGAAACAAGCTGCGTAAAAATAAATCAGACTGAAATCGAGGTTTACGTTGTCTTAAGATAGAAACAAGATAGAATCTAAATAAATCCACAGCTGGCCTCGACACATCTCCTCCTTTAATTAAAACTCATATGATTCTTGTTCTAACTGTTGCTTCATGAGATCAATAAAAAAAATCCAGTTCCTCATTTTACTTCCTAGTCTTAAAGCAGCTGATTTCCAAATCCCAAGAGTCAACTTATTTCACTTCTATCTGGAATCAGGGCGACTAACGTTTGGGGAGGTTTTCGCCTTAGCGTGACACACGCACTGACTGTACGTAACTGGACCAACCCACTGTGACATCACACATTAGTTTACTGTAGAGAGGCTTTGAAGCTCATGTCTGACCGTCATCAGACTGGTAGTGCTTCACCCTGCCTACTACATCTAATCCAAAAACAGGCCAAGAGGTGGAGCGTGAGTGGGGGGGATGCTGTGGAAAACAGGCTATTCAGTTGATAAAACAAGAGAGAATCTGTTCAGACCTTCTCCAGGACCTGTGGCTCGTCCCTCAGGCTGCGGTTCAGGTCACTGCGGGCGTACATGCTGAAGTCCTCCACCATCATCTTATCGATCAGCTTCTCCAGCTCACACAGCTGGGAGCCCAGATGTCTGACAAACACACAGACAGGTGCCGTCAGTGGGGCTTCACCTGTGGAGCGGCTGCACTTTGCTCTCTGGCTTATTGACAGTATATGAGCCATACTTCCTGTTTCAAACCTCTATGGTTTGATGGTCATTTCTTATGAGGTTGTCTAATAAACCAGAAACTCATCACTGCTGCCCTTTCACCTTCAATCTGAGAGGTTTGCCCCATGTTCACCTGTTTTCTCTCCAACTGGACAAAAACACACTAAAAAATGATGCTGTTGGCAAAACATACAACACAAACAGAATGAACTACAAATAGCAGTAAAGCCTGACACCACCTAGGACTTCACATGGTCTCCACATGCACTCCTCTTGGCTTCTATTTCTGCTCATTAGTGGCAACTGCTCACGATAAATGAATTTTTTCTCTTAAAGCAAAACGAGTAGATGGATCTTTGCCTCCTGTGTTTGTGGTTGAACCACCAGGGTGTTCACAGCTAATCTGACAATTTAATAAAAAGCACAAGCAGACCGACGGTCTGTAAACATATTGACCAATGACTAACATGAAATGAGACCATGTGAGGTCAT